GGTTAAGGCATCAGGCCAGGAGATTGTGAGTTCTAGTCCCACCTTAGTCACAAAGCCAGCTGGATGATCTTGGGCCAGTCACTCTCTCTCAGCCCTAGGAAGAAGGAGGCAATGGCAAACCACTTCTGAAAAACTTTGCCAAGAAAACTGCAGGGACTTGTCCAGGCAGTCTCCAAGAATCGGATACAATTGAACAGATTAAAAAAAACAGATTCTTGTATATCTTTCTTTTCTTGGGGAATGCTTGTTTCATAAACTTCCTTGTAAATGAAGAAAAACAGCTTATAACCTTCGCTGAAACATAAAATGCAAGGGAATGTGTGTGTATCACGTTCCTTCCCCAATACAACATAAGGAATGGAAAACATATGTTTTAAAAATATTTACTGCATTGATTTTAAATAATTTATATCTTACTGCTCAGCGTAAAGAATGCCTACACAGCATCTTAGAGACTTAGTCACTTATTGTTGGGGAAAATTGTGCAGAGTACTCTTCAGGTCATCCACTACATACAGTGTTTATATAGGGTTTCTTTTGTTTTTCAGGAAACACAAAAAATTTTAACAATTCTTTTGACAGTCCCTCACTTTCTGTGGGTGGTATAAGCCTGGCATTTTACAGTGGACTCTGGGCCTATGATGGATGGTAACTTATTTACATTATTCTAATTTCCAGTTAAATCATTTGTACTGGTTGATAATCTTGAAGAGTCACAGCTGGAAACCACAGCAGTTGAACTGATTTTACATGTTTTGATGTTTTGTGCAGATGAGTGGGAAAGGTGACACTCCCTTCTCTTTACCCAAACTAATCTCATGTAGCTGTAGAATCTTATGGGTCAGTTGGAATGGCTGCTAATTTAGATGGCTTCCAAAAGAGCTTTAGAAGATGCTGGTCAAAGCAAAGAGGACTTTTAGGTCTTGAAGGCAGGTGTAGAGAACTGGTGCTCCTTGCACTGTTGCTGAACTACAATTCTCATTGTCTGTATTCATCCCAACCCCGGTGATGTGAGATACTGGGAGTTGCATTCAGCCACATGTGGAGGGCCGAAGATCTCACATATCTGTATGAGAAATTGTTCTGGGTTACCTTCAATTTTGGGGAGGAGAGCAATCCTTGGCCAAGATGCCTCCAGGAAGCTCCTACATTTCTGACTGAGTAGCTCCTCCTTCACTGTTTTCCAGAAGGAGAGAGGCAAAACAAGGCAAACAACCCCCTCCAGCAGTTTGCAGAAGACAAGTGAAATGGTAGGAACAGCAAGGAGGGGGAAGAACTCTGACAGTAGCTCCCTGTGATGTGACTCTGGCAGACTCCAGCAGTATCTGCTCCAGATGTCAGCCCTGAGTGCCATGCATGCTACTCAAATACAGGAACTCCAAATTGTACAGATGGCATCAGGAAATACCTTCCTTCCTTCCTTCCTTCCTACCTTCCACCAAAATTATATAACTAATGTTATTTGTATAAATTATAGAAATAATGTTTTGCCTTAAATAGCAGGGAGGCTCCAGTTAACAGGGAAGATCTTATACAATCTGCAGAACTGATGGCTGCAGCATCTTCTTATTGGCTTCCCAGTGAAGTAGAACTGTAGCTAAGTTAACCAAATCAGGAAGTTCACACTCATTCCAGTTCAATTTACTTGCTTCTTTGATGTATAGCTTTCTATCCGAGCTAATTGCATCGTTCCAGTCATAGTCAAGTCAGAGGCTTTGGATATTTGCATTTTCAGAAGTATTTCTCTGACTTGCTTTCAGACATCAAGAAGGACTGAGGCTTCTATCAGCACTGGCACTTCACACTTGACACACAGAAGGGAGGGGGTGGATGAGGAACGCTGGAAACTGATGTCTTAAAAGCCTGTCCAGTGTGAATCAGAGGGCAGAGCCTAAAATAGAAAGAAGCTGTTGTGAACCTGGACCCAGATATGACTTTGCTTCATCCCTCTAGAGTCTAGATCTTTCAGCACTGGAGCACAGGTTGCAAAAGAGGTTGATGTGTGTTAAAAACAAAACAAATTAAACAAATAATTTCAACAGTGATTTCAGGAATGGAAAGTACATATAGCAGGGCTGGGGATTGTATGACTGAATGCACTTCTGTGAACCTCCCCCTGCTTTTCCTTTCCCCTTTCCTGCTAACCTAGCTAGAGACATGCAGGTAGATGATAAATGTGTGCAGAAGTCAGTTCTGCCCTGTGTTCTCACCCCTGCAATCTGACAAAACTACAGCCATGTTCAGTCATAGGTATGTATCGGAAGGAGTGTTTTGGCCTGCCTGTGTAGAGTATTGCATAAAGCACTGGAGTGTTATATCATTTTTATCCTATAATACGGTGGTTTTTCCTTCTTTTTTTCCTTCCTCTTTTATCTCTCAATCTTATTGTATTTAATATATTGTCCTGAGATAGATAGATAGATAGATAGATAGACAGACAGACAGACAGACAGACAGACAGACGGACAGACAAGAGAGAGAGATGATAGATATAGATAGGGTTTGTGACCTGTAATAACTGAATATTGGAAGGAATGCCTTCCTTCCATATCAGCCTGCCCATTCCCCAAGATACATTGAAGAGGACTTTCCCTGTGTCCCACCAGGGATTAAGGAAAAGCCTTTTTTTCAGATGAACTACAGCTACAAAGGCTGAACTACAATTTCTCAGCATCCCAGGAGGACATCCATTGGACATGTAAAGGGTCTTAATTATTGCCAATGAGAAAAGAATAGTAATGGGACAACGTGGAGCTGCTGATTAGGACGGTTCAATATGCCTCCTCCCGTATCAGCAGCAGTATGGCTGTCAAGCA